TATAGATATATACAAACCCTGTAATTTCAGCAATACAACGGAAACCCAAGTAGGTGTATGGCATATCATTGTCCACCCTCGTGACCTCTACACCTATCCACAAAAGGTCAACAGATACAACCTCTCCTGTACGCTGCTGTCCGACATACATAAGATGTGCACGTGTATGTTCAAACTCTAATCAAAAATACCTATACCTACCTACTTCCGGTCTCATTTACCTACACCTACCCTCTTCCAGCCTCATCCACCTGTACCTGTTTACTCTCTTTTACCTACACCTACCTATTTCCAGCCTGATCCTGCCCAGGCGTCGTGTATTGATAAAGGCGATCTCAGTGTCATCAGTCATCTTCAACAAACACTTGGTGGCCTTGGGCGGCCATGCGTCAGTTACCGAATACTTGGACTCGCTCGTCAGATGGAGTACGTCGGTCTAAGTAAGCGTGAACGGTTTAGAGTCCAGGGTTAAGGGTTTCGGGTCCAGGGTTTGAGGTTTAGGGTGTATAATCTTTCTAGTAAGTGCAATAAGAGGGTTTGAGGTTTAGGGTGTATAATTTTTCTAGTAAATGCAATAAGGATAAAGTATGTTGGAGCGATGGAGGTCAAAGCATGCCTTGGTTCTGATAGAGGATCATGTACTCCCATTATCGCTCGACTATAATCAATGGGCGCGAATACGTATACACTTACACGTATATCTCCGTGAGTAGTACTCCGTCCGTATCAGGTACCCCCCCCCCCTAGATTGTCGCATATATATATATATATATATATATATATATATATATATATATATATATATATATATATATATATATATATATATATATATATATATATATATATATATATATATATATATAGATAACTGTCGCCTGTTTCGCCCGACGAAGCACAGTACTATGCTAGATACCGGAGAATCATTGCATGAAGTGATGAAACAAGCAAGCTCGAAATACCCTGTTACGTTGGCGTTGAACGAGTCTTGTGTTGAGACAGTGTGTCACTACACTTTAGAGAGTATAGCAAAGTATCACATAACCGCACACAAACACACAGATGAACAAGCGCATCGAAGACTATAAGACATCTGGATCTGGCACTCGAAGAAGCTTACAAGTACTCGAAACCCAGCATACACCATACAAGTCATAAACATACAAAATACAAGTCATAAGCATACACCATACAAGCCATATGTTCAATTCAGAAGGCTACGAGTCATATGATATACTAAACCAGTTGCTATCGTCCGCATCTGTACCATCACTCCGCCAAGCTACTCTCCGAACCACTCCATTAGCCACTGAACTGAATAGATAGTTCGGGACTGAGTGACACAGCACAAACCTCTCCCTTGACGTAGAAGTTACCCGTCATCCCCAGATGGAACATAACACAAGGCCCTTCTCCGTTCATCTCCAGCCACACATACTTGCCTGGACGGGTAGCGAAAAGAGAACCAATGTTAGCGCCAACAGGTGCAGCTGAACTGCTCAGCTCTGACCGTATGCCTTGGGCTACAACGACAAGCGATGGATATACTAGGATATTCAGAGAAAGCAATCACGCATACAAAGCTTATTGTACAGAGGAGATAGGTAGGAGCAGCAGCTGATATGCTTAACCTTGTAGACAAGGGATGAATAATTATAACCTGAACAAACAAAGTCCACTTGAGAGACACCTGCGGCTAACGCGCGTGTATGAATGTCAGCCTCCAGCTGCTATCGTGCCTCTCTACTTAGTCACATACGGATAATCGTATATATATATCTATATATATATATATATATATATATATATACACACACACACACACACACACATATATATATGTATAGTATAT